TACACTGTGATTGGTTTGATTCATGTTTTGCCAAGTACAAACCTATGTATAATCAAACAACTTAATATAACCTCTTTGTGCTGAATAACTCGCAAAATCTAGTCAGACACAACCCCAAAACCACTTTTTAGACGATGCGCTTTCTCAGACAAAAAGTGTCTGGGACCTTCAAATTGGGCCAAGAGTTTCCATTAATCAACACTCATTAATGGGACTGGAACGAGATTTGGTACAGAGAAACATCACTCCCTTTGTTTTTTGGAGACTTTTATATCGTTACAACTTTGTTGTTCCCCGTGTTGTTTAAGTCCCACCATCAGGTCACATTTATAATTTTCCAATGCCCTGGTTTCTGCCAAATACTTGCAAAACTAATGATACACTTCTTAGCAAACACATAACTAACATGGGAAAAATGGACCAAAAAAGCAATGTCCAAACTCCAACCTGGAGGATATAATTGTACATTTTTTGTTAGCTAACGTTCACATCTGAATTATATTTGGGTCACTGACTATATGTGCTTGTTTTTCGGAAATGTTAAATGCCACTATCACAGTGTGTAAAAATTATTTGCCATCCGTACACAATGAACAAAAGCTTGCCACGAATACAGAGGCTCCGTTTGTCAAGTCTTTTGTTGTGAAGCTCTTCAGTGACAATTCACCAATGATAATTCAGCACACTTCCTTAATCTGCGTCGCTCTGTCTAAGTATAGCTTCCCAGAGCTTCATGCTCCATTGAGATTTAACTCCACCAATGAGGTGGGTGTCTTTGAAGACATGTCTATAGAGATGCAAACACACAGGAACACATCAAGTTTTTTTTTTTATTACAGTATGAATTTCTGAGATTGCTCACCAGCCTTTCCATTCTCTTTTACTGTTCAGATGTTTTAGAGGCTTTCTTAGCTCACTGATGTCTTTCTAAGCCACACTCAAGCCCATTTTACAGAATTTACTGCAGCAACTAGAAAGCAGTCATTATTTACTGCAATTAGAGGTAAATGCATAGGCATAATGAGGGAACAAGCGTACAAGAGGTCATGCATGATAAATAACTGCATTAGCAATTTGATACAAATTAGATCAATGGAGCCTAGAAAGACTGATTCTGATTTACAGCAGAAGGAGCTTAACGGCGAGGTGATCAAGGGGTGAAACAAGCCTGTGATTTGTGTCTGCAATCTGTCTACATTACATGCATGTAAAGCATTCAGCTCATTGGAAATTATGAGAGGAACGTTGTTGTTTAAGCATTGTTGTAACCACATCAGTGTCAGAGGCCGTGCCCCTGCCATGTCAAAGCAGCCTGCTTTTAAATTCACTGTAGAGGATGATGAGAGAGGCTGAGAGAGACAGAGAGGGATGTAACTTGTATTGCCTTTCTGCAGAGGTTGAGTGGTTTTACAGTAAGAGTGATCCAACCGATCACCTCATTTCCTCTCTCTTCTACCGTAACATCCAAAGCACTGATAGTTTATCCATCTGAGAAAGTGATTTCAAGGTGCCAAGTACAACACAGGAAATGGCCCGCCAGACGTTCCAGTGTCTGGTAATAGCGGGCCTGATTGCTGGCATCAGCAAGGTTGACCGGTGAACAAGTGACAAAGCAATTCTTAGGACGTTTTCAGTGTCAGCCATGCAGAACCCGGCTTACCAGAGACGTAAATCGATTTGACACGGAGTAGTGGTTGTGGTCCTTTCTTGTTAGAAGAGGATTTAGTTCAATCTGGCTATGCAGAAAAAGGGAAAGTGCTGAACTGCTGCTGAGGATTTGAGAATAGTTTGGCACAATAGACAGGAAAGGACATAACAACCCTGATGAATGTCTAATAATGGACATGGAATAATAAACTGAGTTGAGGGAAACACACACACACATGCAGAATTAGCTTCCCTTTCGTGAGCTTTAGTGTCATGTACAATTGAAACCTGGAAAAGGTCTCAGATGGAGACTTACAAGGATAATTCTGCAGTCTTTCCAGCTTTGTGGACTTCATTTACAATACAATGAGCTTTCCAAAAATCCAATATGCACACTGACTAAAAATATCCTGTCTGAGTTAGGCTGTGGAGGGAGCAATCAAACGTAGAGTCATGTCCCCGAGGAGTTTGGCTTTAGTCTTCCTCTCCAAAAGAATCAATCAAAGTGGAATATTTTATTTTGACCTCACTGTCCACTGATGGAGGTCAAGCTCATCACATATATACATTTATGTAATGTCTATAAAAAGAGAGGCAGCTCTTTCTAGCTTTTGTCAAAAGCCCTCGTGTGTGTTACCACACTGCATGAAACACTGCCCAACTAAACTCCAGTGAACTTTATATTAGCTGCTGTTTTTTTTTACTTTGCCATTTCTCAACACTGTGTTCTTTGGATTTTGACCACTTCGAGGGTTGGAACGCTGGTTGACTGGTAAATTGAAAGACACACTTTCCAGGTCAGCTCCTTATTTTCCATGATGGTTTGGTAGATAAAAAAAAAAAGCCTCATGCTGGCGCTGTATCAACCTGTTGTCAGGACTAGCTTAACCATATTGAAATCTTAAACTCGAAGCTGAAACTAGCTCCCCACCAGGAGGGAGCACTTGATTTCTGCACTTGAAAATCAGATTTGTTCTTACTTTCAAAGAGACCCAAGCTAACTGTTTCCCTGCTCCTACCTGATAGATAGCTGTAGTTTTATCACCACAGATGTGAGTAGTGGTGTTAATCTTTTCATTTCTTGGCCAGGTCTCCCTTGACAAAGAGATCTCTGATCTCAATGGGACTAACCTGGATAAATAAAGGTTACATAAATGCATAAATTAATGTAACTTTAAGCAAGAAAGCAAACAAGCACATTTTCAAAAATCCTTAACTGTTCCTTTAAGTCATGCTCTATTTGTAGTGTCTCAGTGTTATGCACTTCTTGCTCTGCCTGTCTGCCTTCTCCAGAGACTTTTATTCCTCTCAGGGTTGCAAAGCCTATTTAGAGGATCTTTGTGCGCTCAATGTCATCACAAAAACAGTTTGAAATAAAATTTGAGGGTCAGCAGGTTTTTGATCTGAAGTGACACACAACACCTCTGCAAAGTCATCGAGACACACATGTACTCAGACACACACATACACACGTGTATGGAGTATTATCATTGACATGGCAGAGGAGTGTTATAACACCGTTGGGAAATTAGCTGATGGCAGCAACTCAGTGGCTCCTCTGCCTTACCTGAAGGGATCGTCTTACAGAGGAGCCAAGCAAATATCAATAAGGGTGATTTAGCTGTGCACAGCTCAAGGATAAAGAGCTTATGCATGAAACCTCTGGAAATACACTTGAGCGTGGCGTGTAAAATGCTGTCGCTTCAAGCAAATCCCTGATTAAATCCCCCAAACACGTTTAGTTGGCTGTATGAGGGGAGGCCTGATGCTGGCTGTGAGGCACGGTGCCAACCATGGAGGAGGACAGAAAGAGAGAGAGGATGGGGGGGGGGGGAAGTCTTGTTGAAGTCTTCCCTTAGACCTTTATGATCCTCTGTGTGTTACAAGTGTGTCTCTCTCACAGATGATGCCCCTACTGAATGTGTCTCTGACACTGAATGGAAACCACTGATGTACTGTATGTACCCTTTATACTACTACAATTTCAACCAATTACTCAATATTATGGCCCATTACAGCCTTTTTCATACATGCACTTGAAATGAAGTAGAGGTTTGCCCCTAAAATCTTCCTGAGTTGCCTGTTCTGTTCACATATGCACCACACAGTGGGAGACTTTCCCTGTCAGACAGAAGGGGTAAAGGGGGGGGGGGGTCTCGCAGGAGGCGGGACATGACATTTAAATGGCAAGGCAGTAATGGCAGGTAAAGCAACAGAGTCTGGCCTTTTAAAAATCGTTTTTTTGCATTTAACCCGATGCTTTGTGGAATTGGACGCATTCACAGCATCAACGATTGAATGCTAAAGAAAATACTTGCAAAGCAGAAAAGAGTATGAAGCACAACACTATGGCATATCGCTTGATAAAAACGTCATCATGTGGAATTTTTCCCTACTGCTTTTAAACATGGGCTCACCCTACGTCAGGGCTGGCAGGACCAATTCTGGGTAAAGTCAGGGTGAAGCAATCATTTTGCGTTCAAACATAAAGCTCAAATGTTTCAGGAAGTTTTCAGAAGTTTGTGAATGTGTGAAAACCAATAGCTTATTTTTTGGGGGGAAAAAGTTGCATTTCTGTTGGCTGTCATTTAAGTGTTGGAGAAATAGAATTCTACATTAAATATTTGTGTGAGAGAAAGAGAGGGTGTCGCGCCTCGTTTTCACAGCCAACAGCACGACGAGAGCCCGCTAAATGAAATATCACTTTAACATCTGCAAAAGTGGCTGTGGATTTACAGCTTCTGTGACGAGAACAGGACAACATTGCCTCATATGGATCATTAATTTTTTATAAGCTTTCCTGGAAATCACTTCATGTAGCATTTTATTGCCAATTTAGGAAGTAATTGCTGTTTTGCAGGGATGCAAACACTTGTCAGCTACAGTATGTGGTCATAGAAACAGAAAAGGAAAAGCTGCAGGAACACAAACTCGCTTTATTTCATCGCTGTGGTGGATGATTTTTAAAGGAGCTGTCTGAATGCCTCATAGTGAGTCTCCAGTGAGTCAGTCCTTTCACTTGTAATAAACTTCTCCATCTGTCTTTTCACTGACTGACACATCAACAATATGGCCTTGGGATGTTTACCATAGAATAACCAGCCTACACATCTCATTAACAGAGACTGACTCATGTCATTTTGAAACGGGGTCACATAGGGCCTAGAAAATGAAAGGACAGGAAACCAAGGTATCAGTGACACTGCATAAGAATCACTCGCACTTGTCTCACAGAAAGCCTGTGCTTATGAATGCAGATTGGATTTGAATGATTATGATTTTTGGTTCATGCATGATTAATGAGCCTTACATTGTACATACTGACATAAAAAGGGACTGTTGTTCAAGAGAAATCACATGGCATTCTTTATTCATTTCTGCAAAGCATTAACAACCATCAGGGAGAGAAAAAAAAAATGGTTAAATTAACAAGGATTTAGCTCCGACAGAAACGAAAATCTTCTTAAACCAAGAAAAGGAAGTTGGTCTCTGACTTACCCGGACACTGGGGCATTAGCATTTTTAGCAAGTTGGCACATGATAAACCCTTTCTCCTAAGCTTTTGGTGTCATCTGCGATGCTTTAGTCAGCCAATCACTATGATAACATCAAATATAACATTCTAAAAAGACTGATACCACACTCTGAGAATGTAATTAGCTCTTTGAAGTATTGAAGGCTTAAGGTTTTGAAGTAGGGCAACTCTTTCATGTGCGATTAGATGTTCTTAAGTCCATCCTCAGGTAGAGAAAAAAAAAAAAAACTGAAAGGAGTGTCATAAGGAAGGCTCATCTACCTTGAAATGTCACAGGCACTTGGCTGTGGTCTTCCAGGACCCTTTTCATATGCTTACAGAGTGAATTTAACAGTGTTGAGGAGGGCAATGACAAACTGCAGGGGAAAAGAAAGTCTCCTGTGGCAGAGGGAAGGTAAGGAGGGGGGGGGGAGCAGAGGGGATCAAGTGAGAGCAGAGGAGGGTGCACGGTATCAGAGCTGTCGACTGCAGTCAAATTGCTCACTCCAATCAAACCGACGTGGAGCTTTGGCTCAGATGCACGAGGCTGGGCTTACTGGCTTACCTCAGCACTGCACCAGAGAGGGACTGTCACTGGATATTACCATGTGGACCACTGAGCTGATTCCCCCCGCATCACAGTGGACAGGGGCAGCTTTACATCCATCCTTACTTCCACTCTCTTGCCTGGACACACACACACACAACCCTCACTTCCTGAACTGTGTCTGTACACAATTTCGCTGTTGGAGACACTTGCATTAAATATGGATAGCCTTAATAATAAATGGAAGCTCTGGAAGCAGATTGCATCCTGGGTACAAAAAAAATGCGTTCCAGTGTTGTGACACAAAGCTTTGAACATTTGTGGCCAATTTTATGGTTTAAAATCATTGGGGGACAATCTGATATAGCTTGTGCTAACTTTGCAATGAAATGCTTTTCGTGTCCTTTTTGCACTCTGTGGCTATATGAGATGGCATCCAGGCTATTCCTAGTTTGAGAGCAACAATGTTGCACATTTTGAATGATAGAACACTGTTTTAAGCTACAATATGTTAGAGAATGTGTGTGAATGGCATTATTTCCTCTGTAATACAAAAAAAGGTTCATATTCAAAGCAACATTTTAAGCCAGTGTTTCCTCAATGTCCTCTTCCAGGGACAAGTTATGCGCAGAGGAATGGCTGGGACTGGATCTAGTTTTCAGGCTGATAGAGCCATACTGTTTGGCTGACCGCTTGGTGTAAGCGATCACCTTTCTTCTGTACATCTCGCCTTTCCACATGGAGATCATCAGCAGTGTGGAGAGTACCACGCCGCCCAGCGTGAGAAGGCACAGTCCCGCTATGACGCACCGATCCAGGTGGGCACCTATCCGCGCGCTTTCCATCTCCAGCCTCTCCATCTCCCTCGCTGACACGCTGTCACGATCCACCTCCACATCACGTGGTACGGCGTAGGAGATGATCACCAAGGAGATCCCGGTGACTAAAAACGTAACTGCACTGATAAAGCCGTAGTCTATTGAAGACCCGGAGCCCTCCCCAAAGGAGAGATCATCTTCGGACATAAAGGAAAACTCCGGTAAAGTTTCCGAACAAGGCTCGCCATTGCGCATAGGCCTGAGAGTACTTTTACAACTAGTCTCTGGGCTGGCCAGTCTCAAGTTAACATTCTCATCTACATAGGTAAAAGATGTCTCTAATTCCTCGTCGCAACAAACCCGGACTTTTTCCTCACCAAGTTGACCGAGTTTAACCTCCGCGCCCCCTTTGCGCGGCGCCGTCCTTGGTGCTGAACGACACCGGTCATGGCAGCTGCGGGCAGGGTTACAGTAGCCCTCCCCCGGGGGTGCTCCTCCTGTTGATCCGCCCGATTTGCGTGCATGGAGCGAGACTGGAACCCGGTCGAGGGCGTCATGTTGATCGGGCTGATTGACTCCCTCATCTCCGGGAAGAAGCTTTGGAGAAGCCATTCGTGTTTCAAACCCGACTGGTTCACTCTGAGCCTTCCTCCCACGGCGTTTTCACTCCACTGCATCCCTAATAAGAGGACCCACACCAGCTCTAAGTAAAAGGGTGCATGTTAATCACCCTCAATTGTAAAAAAGAAAAGAAAAAGAAAAGTGAAACCTTATAACTACAGTGCGCAACTACACATAGGTTACCGTAATATAGTCAACATAGAGACCACTTAAAATCAGGACACTTTAAAGTTGATCATATTGTTTAGGAAAAATCCGCGGACCTTTGTCCAAAGGCGCTTATAGTGGCTGTGATTAGCCAAATACCTCCATATCCAATTAGCGAAGCAATCCACGTATTAACCGAGATTAAGCTACATTCTTGTTTGAAATGGATACGACCTTCTGAACAGATACAAAAGCAACGCTGTTTTAAAACTAAATAACACATCAAATACAGCTACACAACCAGTCGGTCTTATTCCAAGTAAATCCATCACGAAATACTCTCATACTAAAGCTGGTTAATGCAAAATACATTCAGTAGCCTACTCCCATAATATGCGTGGTAATACCGCTGCACTTTATTTGAATCCAGCAGAATATGTAAAAATGCTGCTCTGCATAAGGGTGGATCAGTCATGCACAGTATCCGGTGTTATTTTCCCTCCTCAGATACACAAATCAAGAAACACACTCACCGCGCTACTTCAGCATCCCTTCCGCCTTCTCCTCTTTACAGACACTACTGCGGGAAAGGGCACATACCGAGGACAGATATGAAGCCTTATCATTGAATATGCCCTCAATAGATCCTCTCTCTGCTCGGTGCTGTGGCGGCAGGCTGCGCGGAGAGGAGCTCTCCGTTAGTCCCTCCCACACACACACACACACACACACACACACACACACACACTCACACACACACACACACAGACGCACACACACACACACACACACACACACACACACACACACACACACACACAGAGCATCAGCTGCTCGCGCTGTAGTGCTGAAAGGAGCGCCGCTATCTGTGAGCCGATTGAATCACCCCCAGTCAGTCAACACACACACAAAAACACACACACACACACACACACACACACACACACACACACACACACACACACACGAGAGGATCGGATCTGAAGGGCTATGCTGAGGGCGAACCCTGGGAACTGACCATCATATTTTACTGTCTTGCATTGCACTTTGGGGAAACATTTGGGGAGAATCTGATACCACAGATATGTATTGTAAGGCTAAGGAGTGGCTATAAGAGATAACAGATTCCACCAAGAACTGAATGGTGGCAAATAAGTCTCCATGGGAGAATTCAAAAGGGAGCTCAGGTGCTATAAAGTCAATACTGACCACTATAAACACATTTGAAATACCTAAAAGGAACTTAAACATTAATAAATGATGCCTGAGATGCAAACTATGAACAGTTAAGCACCATAAATTCAATAATTAACATCCACAAGCTACAGCATTGACACTCTAAAACTATTTCAGTGATATCAGAGCAACATACAAGATTTATAGTTTGACATCTGTGCAGAAGGTTATTGACATACAAGCAACAGTCTGCACTGTATGTTTTCAGCTCATGCCATCATATCAGAACAATCTTTCCAGTGGTGCAGCTGTGCAAACAACACTGTTAAGCTGCATGTATCATGCACCATCTGTTCTCCTACGGTCTCTCAGAAGATTACTGGTGACTATGTCAAAGCCATCTTAATCCACACGTCATGTGTTCTGTGACTTCATGTACATCTTTTAGGAGTGTGTTTTTGATTCATGCCACTTCATCAGAAGTCTGTGTGTCCTGGTTGCATCTATAAGGATGCAATGATAAACAATTAATGCAGCCAATGGCTTTCTTAAAGTGTGACGAGATGTTTGGTGCGTGTCAGAAATCAATGATTTAATCCAACATTAAACACATTACACTTAATATTAATTTGCTGACCGTCCCACCTCATGTAGCACAGCCAGGCAGCAGCTATAAATACAGTGGTCACTTTGCCTGTAGTCCTGGTGGCTGGTTGAACGCGGCTCTGGCTCATTTCCCAACAAGACTCCATTTAACAGATGAGAAAAGAGAAAGGGAGGAGGAGGGAGAGAGAGAGAGAAAGTATAGCTGTCTTTGTCTCTGAATAGGGATTCAGAGACAAAGATTTACTACACTCCTTTTGTTCCAAAAATGTGTTTTGCATAGTGGGGGGATCAGCATGTTTGATGTAGGTTCGGTCAGATTTGGACAACTTTAGCAAGTCTCAGGCAGAAAGATAGAGAGATGGAGCTTAAACTGACTGGGCGCTTGTGTGAGGAGGTTACAACAGCCAACAATCAGATGTTATCTGTCTGCAACAGTGCATCACTTTTCCTTCTGGCAAGGACATCAGGCCAGTTAGAGGAGGGGGCTGCAGAGGAATCTACACTTCCAAAGGCTATAAATCCTCAAAGTGTCTCTTCTGCCACAGGCACATAGAATAAAGATTATGGAACATTGGTGTACCACTCTTTTTTTTTTTTTTTGCTTAAGCAAGATATAAAAAGGTGATAGAGGAGGGGGAAGGTTGAGATCACTAAAGCAGTGTGTGTGTGGGTCTGTGAATTATGAATTGAATTAATGAATGATGGAGTGAGTTCTCTTCACCTGCAGCTGCTCCAGGAGCTGGTCAGTGACCCACTTTAGCAGAGTGAGTAAATGGTAATGGTAAATGGACTTGAGCTTATATAGTGCTTTTCTAGTCTTCCGACTACTCAAAGCGCTTTTACACCACATGTCACACCCACCCATTCACACCCTTTCACACACTGATGGTAGTGGTTGCTATGTAGTATCATCAGAGTGAGGAGAATATATGAATGAGCAGAAGTGTATGAACAGGCTGCTGCTGCTCAGACAAGCTCAGAGGATCTCCTGTGCCCCAGGTCATATTAAGTTCAGACTCAAAAATGCATACACCATCAAATTCGGATGTGAAAAAACACAGAGAAGCTTTTAAAAATCCTCATGTGTTAATACATATTTAAAAAAATGACTACCGTTTGTTATCTAAAAAAGTTGCATTAATGCAGTGGATATTGTGGGGGGCCGGGGCGGGTGGCACGGAAAAGGGCGTGTACAGAGGCGCACGGGATGGTCTTGGCACCCCTTAAATCTAAATTGCCACTACAGATGCCACTCCGAAATCCCAGCTATGGCTGTCAGCCCCAGACACTAAAACAGACTGAAACAAAATGAGTGTAATATTTACAAATTAGCATTTATATATTTAAATCCCAGCACAAGCATTACCCCATAACCTCAGTTGAAGGTCATGTCCTGGTTTGTTTAAGCTTGAATTTGATAAAATGTAAAATAAAAAACCAACCTTCTGAGAGATCCTTTACACTCTCAGGGATTTTTCAACAAAAATTTCTGAAATTCCGAAAAATTTAGATTTCTTTTACTTTTTGGTGGATCAAAGTAGACAGAGACAGCCAACATGAGGTTCAAACTAAGGCCCAATTGCATTTAATTTAAAAAGGCAGAGAAGACTGATGTGTGAAAAGGTGTGTCAAATTCTAAACTGAAATACAATTTAAATGTATTTGTTGATGTAATGAATATATAAGCCAGAGTAAAAAAGAGTGATCTGTAAAATAACTCTTTCCACAAAGTAACACTATTGGATTTATGCCTTTTTGGCAACGTTACAGTTTCCCTTTGTGACATCACAAAGGGCAGTAACCCCTCCCAGGTGGGTGACACTCCCACAGCTAGGTGTTTCTTCTGACCTCTGAGTCTGGAGTGAGAGAGCCAGAGCCACCCAATAGTCGAACACAGCTCATTTACATAATTAAAGGTACAGACACAGAAACAGCCTGTTCTGAGCAGGGCTGAAATAGAGGGGTTTATAGACATGATCAAATACAGGATCAGAATTGCTTTTTAGAAAGAAACTTCACAGACATGTTTTAGGGAGCTCTGAGACTTATTGAAACTGCTTGAAAAGTAGGATAATATGTGACCTTGAAACGATTACTGCAATCCCTGAAGAAACTCATGAAAGACAAACACTGGTCGGAAACTGTTTAATAGCAAGTCCCAAAAACAAAATGTTATTCTTTATGGTTATTCTATCATGAAAGCTGTACTGAGGGGGTATTTTTGTATTGCTTAACGTTATGCATAATTAGGGGGCTAGCCAGATTGAGTGTCTGCTGGGAGCTGCAAGTGGCCTGCTTGGTGTCATCTCAGCCAATTCAGTCACAAGACTAAACCTCCAGCTGTGTTTGTGTTGAAGATGCTGTTTGGAGAATTTTTCACGCAAATAGCTGACAAAAAAAAAAAAACATATCTTACTGATCAGTTTTTTGTGCTAACAGATTGTCAGAGGTCTTCTCCAGTTTTAGTCACACTTATTATATCATTGTCTGCGCTCACTATACCTGGCTTGTTAACTTGTAAAGAGCTACATTCATTTTGTGTGATGACTTGTTTCTGGGAGTCAGAATTGCTGTTTCCACATAGAGTCGATGGCAAACTATAGAGATGAACATAGACTATATAAAACATTGATGTAGTGTTAGTGAAGTCACCCGTTGGATTCTAAAGCAGATTTTTTAAGGCCATGTGGGAATTGCTGTCTGAAACTGGGCTTTTGTCAACTTTGTAACAGACAAAGAGACAGGGCTGAGGCAGACCTTTAACCCTCTGGCAGACAGCTTCAGCCGCCTGTCAGTCAGATAAGCCTCCCCCTAATTCTGCTTAACTCTTAGCCTTAACCCCCAACCTTCAGTGAGGTGATCTGGCACTATAACCACCCGACATCCCTGACGCCCAGCCACTAACATCGGACTGTGTGGTCCCCACAACCATCGCCGTCCTCATTCATGCACGGCTTGCTCCGACCCTACCTTAGGGGCAAGGATGTGTGGACAACAGGAAGGTGAGGAATATAAATCCTGGCTGCATATTATCCTATATGCTAAAGTGTCTTGAAATAACAATTTTTATGAATTGACCCTATACAAATAATGATTGATTGATTGATTGATTGATTGATTGATTGATTGATTGATCAATGACATCAAAACAGATGAGTTATAAAACAAAGTCATCCCCTGTAGTATGTACCAATAAAGACATGATCTATTGATAATTATTGTTTTGATTGTGATCTTCCAAGGCTATGCAGATGTAAATTAGATTCAAGATGACTGATACAAGGCATGAAATGACAACCTCTCTAGAAATAAATAACCAAATTTGTTTTTGAAGCAGACTATAATAATATTTATTTCTGCTGTCTAAATGGGCATTTTAATATTGGAGTTAATGGGACGTCCAGGCTTTTCCAGCCAGCCTCAAGTAGAAACTTGATGGACTGCTTTTCTTTTTACTCTACCACATTTTGCTTCATTTTTCAACACTGGTGGTCTACTTGATTCCAAGTTGACAAGGTCTTCTAAATGACTTGGTTAGTGCAGATCAACTGTGCAAGTAGCAAGTTGGCTACATTCCCAAAAGTACTTTTAAATTATTTTGACTAATGAACAAGAACTCTGATTTAACTACAAATAGACTACTATTCTGTTGGAAGCACAGTGCACAGTTAACTTACTACTTAGCAAATAAAATAGCCTAAAGCATTGACTCTAGGTCTTCCTCCACACTCTATTGGTAAATGGTAAATGGACTTGAACTTGTATAGCGCTTTTCTAGTCTTCTGACTACTTAAAGCGCTTTTACACTGCATGTCACACCTACACATTCACACAATGATGGCAGAGGTTGCTATGTAGTGAGACCATAAGAAAAAACTAATCCCATTCACACGCATTCATAAGGGGGAGCAATTCA